AATTAAGCAACAATAAGAAGGGTGTGGGTGTGGGTGGACGTGGGTATAGGTGGGTGAGTGTGGGTATTCTTTCATTCTACACCCACACCGTCACCCACACACCCACACCCACACCCACCCACACCCACACCCACATCCACACCCACACCCTTCATTCACTTTACTAAATTTCAACCAGACCTAAAAAGAAATTTTTTTCTTCAATGAAAACTCGACGACACAATGCAGTTGGTGAACTAGTGAGCAGCACTTCATCAGACTGAAGTATATTTAAGGGTATATTCAAGTAACATGTGTGAGACTATATTACTCTGTGCGGATAATGAATGATTAACTCATAAAAACAGTAGGCGACATCGCCGTCAAAAAAAAGAATAAATTTGGTTTCTATGGAATATATAAACATTCGATTGATGTGCATTACTCTGAGAATTGTTTTTATTCTCATACATGATCAGTTCCGGCGGTGGTGAGTTATTCAATACTCTTCAAGTATGGTAGCTACTGTTCAAATGTTGAATAATGTTGACTACGGTGTTCAAGTTTCACATCGATAGTTAAAATATGTTCTATGATTCAAAAGATGAATGTGTGTGAGTTCTATAATTAAACTCAATGGAGTGTGTGTTTAACACTTTTTTTTTCTTTCAACTCATTCCTCTTTCATGAAAATAGAAGTTGAGTAAGAAAACATAAAAATCACCATCTTTTTTTCTGCCTAGTATCCAACTAATAATATAAGGCTTCATTCGTCTTTTCTTTTGATTGTGCAACTTCAGAAGCGACGAGAAAATGCATAACTACGTCTTTACATCCAACACGTGGTCTATTTGCAATTTGTTCCACTAGAAAAATATCTTTGTACGCTTTTGCTTTGATTTACCTTCAGATAATAAACCGTCACTTTATTATTCGTGTATTAAGAACCTAAATATACAATCACTAGCGATATTATCGACCGTATTAATAACAATTAAAATCTAAATGAATATATTTTGAACGAAAATATTGTATCAAGCATGTTTTTCAATTTATATCGAACTTATTTCTTCGATTACTTAAAAATAGCATTTTTAAAGCATTACTGTACAATCGTTTTATAGCACTATTTTCACATTTTGTGGACATTGAAAAGTTGTGTTGTATGGAGTAGGTAATGGTCCAATTGGATTCTATTGTGTGTATATGAAATACGATATAATCATGTAAAGATAATGTTGACAACTAAGTGTCAACATGATTTGAAATTGCTTTGCGTTAGAATCCAGTCGAATCTTTGTATTATTTCTCAATTGGTATCTAAATTAGAGAATCATGAGAACGTTATGAAATGCATAAATACAGATTGCAGCTTAAAACATAAGAGTATCTAATCTGACGGCTATCGGCTCTATTTCTAATACTATCCCAAGATTTTCTTTGGATACTTTGCAATTGTACAATTCAAATGCGTATCATTAAAGAGTTTTGGTTTTTTCCCGAAGGACCACCCTTCTTACACTAACTCTACCTAATACGAAAAAAATCAATCTCAACATTTTATAGAATAAACTAAAGCTTCAAATTCGAAAACTACGGAAACGTTTGCTCAAATTTTACAATAATATGATTACTTTTGAAAATTAGCTTTTCGTATAGAACAAAGACTTATGCCTATGAAAATGCCATGCTGATACATAACTGTCAAGTACTATAACTGCTTAATTAAATACCTGTATAGGACTGCTCGATTGAGATAATATAGCGACCATATTACGACAGCTGTTTTTGAATCTGTTACATAATGTAACAGTAATCGTGTTTTTTTCAGTACGTGCTTACAATATATCTTAGCTAAACGAATATTTCTTAACGAATAAATCCATAATTGGCGCGACAATCATATAATTACACAGAGAGAATGTCAATAGCCCATATGCCTCTTTATGATTCAATGTAACTTTAGTACTAGACTGTAATACACGTCTCGAAATCATTGGGTTTGTTTGTTTTTGTGATCAGATCAAAACTGTCTTTTCAAAAAATGTGAATCTTCGAAAATTTTAACTACACTCTTTTGCAGTCGAAGAATTTGAACCTCTATGCATATATATAAATACCGTTCAAGTAATTTTTCAGGTTAGGTCTGATAGATATTATGCATTAATTGAACACTTGAACTCATGACCTGGAAGATGAAAGATACATAAAACGAATTATTTATTCTATCAATTATGTTTTGTATTTTTTAGAGATAAGACAAGCGGGTGTGGATGTGAGTGTTTGTTTTCTTTCCACTCACCCTCAGCCACAGCCACACCTCACCCAGAACCTGACAACAATAATATCCACTACTATCAATGTAAGAATATCATCGAATATGCATTAGACTCTGATCGATCAGTCCGTTACTAGTTTTGAAGCCTAAATTTCCATTGAATCATGCCAGTTGGCCGAGTCTTACAAGACCCGATTCATCAACTTGAATATCACAATATTTCCATGAAGTACATTCTAAAAGAATTGAGTTATTGATGAACTCGAAAGCCTTCAAACTTATGTACTAAAAGCTTTCAAAAGTTTTTAGCGAAAATTTTTTTCAGAGTTCCATAATATGAATAATAACGTTTTACAACATGAGCGATGCTGTCGATGTCTTCGTAGAATATTATAAGGCATTCTAATATGTTCATAGAATAATTCTAAGTTTTACTTTCAAGAATATGACTTCCACTTTTTTAATCTGAGATAATCAATAATCCAGTTAAGTATCAGATATAGTATGGAACTACGTGTACAATAATCATCACCACATCACAAATCATTTTAAGGTTTCGCCTATTTTAATTAAATTATTTGATAGCTTCGTAATTTCTTTACAAAATCTTGTGCTTACTCTGAAAAACGTGGCTCAGTGAATCTTTCTTATTTCTAAATTGTGGTACTATTTTTAATTCTATTTAATTGGTATGTGAGTGTTCGTTTAACTCACTCGTTCACATCTACGAGGTGCATACTAAGCAAAAGAGTCTGACTTCAAATCTTTTGTGCAAAATCTTGATAACAGCAATCCGCAGGAGATCAGATACGAAACCGTTGTTTTTTTTCCTTATGATAAACAAAAAAGAAAGTTCTTTCTGTGTATAAGCTGAAAAGAACAATTTTAGATTCGTAGGAAAATTGTATTTCATATAATGTATGCATCTGCTCATCCAATACACCTTCCATATATGTTACGAGTTATGTCTTGAAGTCTAAAGCATTTGGTCTTTATTCTGATAAATAAATATTTATATTTATATATACTACCAGACAAGTCATAATGTTTGCAGTACACGGCATTTTGCAAACATTCATGTCAACACCAATAAATCATAAAGTTTTGATTTGTTTTCTGTTACATGTGTCGTGGAGTTCTTGCTGCTTTTACATTGAAATGATCATTAGATTGTGCTAATTAATAGATTTTTGTGGAACTCACGTATATTTTCGGAGAAAATAGTGAGTGTAAGTTTTCAGTTCGAGGTTTCGCGGCTTCCCCTACCTCCCCTTATAGACAGGCCCCCATTACAGACCTTAGCGACCAGGTTTAAAATAATGGATATACATATACATATATATATATAACAGCTTCATTCGGCATATAATTCAATGCTTCTTGTAATAAAAATGTAAAATAAAAGAAAAAAACCAGTGTTAAAAATGAAAAATGCTGAGCAAATAGCAACAAAGAAGGCGAAAAATAAGGGTGCCTGTCAGAAAATTAACAACTTCATGATTTTAAGGTGGGGTGGGTGTGGGGTGGGGGTGGGGGTGGGGGTGTAACTGTGGCTGTGTGCGTGGGTGTGGGTGAGTATTCTTTCATTCTACACCCACACCGTCACCCACACCCTTACACCCATACACCCATACACCCACACCTATACCCACACCAACACCCCACACCCACACCTACACCCACATCCACCATCTGTAGCGATAGCGTGATGGCTATTTCTCACAACTTTGTCATCCATAGTTTTCGACAGGTCCACATCCTCTGCTTTGTTGATTTTGAAAAAAGACCTACCTTTAGGTGGTTTGTTGTGCGCATCGTATGAAACCGTACTTGAAAATAACGGAAGAAATATTGAAGCGTCATGTCGAGTGACTGACTCACTAAAAAAACATTTTTTTTGCTTCATGTAGTCTTTGCATATAAATACCTGATATTCTTTTGCCATTTTTGATTGAATATTCACTGAATCAAGCGAAAAAAACACATAGCGAAGCTTTTGAGATTTCTCTATTATTTTACTCGAGTTGATTGCAGAAGAACACGAAAAACGAAACCAAGCAGAAAGAATTACTTCTTGCAGTAAGTCTCACGAACATACAATGAAAATTGGTTTGTATATGAAGCTTCATGAGTAGTCATGGATTATTTGAATTTCAATAAAAAGAAAAATTGCTAATTTCGATAGCATTCCAAAAAGAATTGAGTTGATTTCGAATCGTTTTCGATTGTAGAGCTAAAATATATAGAATCGGAAACAAATTCATCGAAACAATATTTTACTTCTTTCTTTAGCATAACAATAAACAGGTAAATCAATCATGTATATCATATACATATAGACAAATATTTTTTAAAAAACGAAAAATAAATTCTCTCGATCTCTTTAACATAAGATACTTTCAATTCAATCGCGCATCAGAGTAAGTTATAATGATTCTTTCACCAGGAAGTAAGTAATTTCAAATCGGAATTAGAATCTTTATCAGCAATTCAGATTCCGATCCAAAAAAACTCCTATTATCAATTTCTATAGGATTTAAATACAGATGAAGCCATCCGGTTTATTTACGATTCTGAAAATAGCCAGTTCTGCTTATCCTTATTCATGGCATATATATCTTTTTGTTTGTTTCTTTCTAGAATGTTAAAACCGATTTTCGTGTTACTGGCGTTTATGAGAACTATTTGTTGTGATGATCTACCCGGTCTAGAATATTTATCCACAGGCTTTGACGCCTTAAAGATGATTAATACAATTGAAGATACAACGCGTTCAAATCCAGAACGATTAAAATATAAAATCTTTAATTTTATCAAACCGAGTGGGAAAATGTTTACTCTAGATATTAATGAGCGAAAACAGAAGTTTTCAGTACCAGATTTAATACAAGTAGCTGAATTAGATATGAGAGTTAAAAAAAATATAGAGCAAATTACCTATACATACGAAGAGTTCTATACAAGGTAAACGATAGCTTGTAATACATTCAGTCTTATACTTTCTGATTTCATAACCCTTAACATTAGTCTCTATTCTCCTTTATTTTTACAGCTATTTTCGTTCATTCTCAATTGATCTTGATTTAACAATTCCTATTCCTATTCCAAGCCCTGAACCTGGTATGCCTTTGCTTCCACTGATAACACCATCATTCGGTTACCATAACACATTGAAAACTGCTTATGACTTCATAACGAAAACGTCGGCAGCAGTAGGCATAGCTACAGATTGGTGGGGAATGTATACAATACATTTGGGACCAACATTTTTGCTGACGTAAGTCATATGATACTATATTATTTTAGTTTTTCAACACAGTTGATCACTGAGAAATAGGGAAGTTAGAAACTTTATCTTTGAAATTTGCGTAGAATTTTTATTTTTAAAAACTGCACCGTGGATGTTTGAAGGTACTTTGACATGCATGCGATAAGTCAACTTTTATCAATTTTCCTTATTATCCACATTTCTTAGGTTTGACGATGCATTTAACAAAACGTTAGTTAAACTTGTTTCTAATCCAACAACTGAAAACGATCAATCATACTACAACCAACTCGTTGCTACATTCGGTACACACTATATTTCGTCAGTTATCGTTGGAGCATCAGTTGATATTTACACATATATATCACAAAACTATCATAGTCAGTACGATTCTAGTTCATTATCACAAGCAATTTCACTAGGTGTTGGAGTTTCAATTTTTGATGCTTTTTCATTCAAGAGGAAGAAAGGTAATGGACAAACAAGTGGAAGCATAACAGAAATTAATGTTAATCTTGGGCTTTTTGATGATATTGCTGGTCTGCATGGTACATTCAGTTGGGGTTCGAGTGATACTCGATTAAGTAAAGATTTCAAAAAAAATTCAGCCTTTGAATGGAAATTTTTACCGTCTGTGAATATCACCTCTGACATTGATGAAAACATAATGAAAGTATGGTTAGAGCGTGCATCAAAAAAACCTACTGTAATTAATCGTACGTTATCATCCATTGTGAATCTATTAAGTGATTATCCATCTCCGATTCGTGGTCATTTACAGTCAACAATTGACTTTTATCTAAAGCATGCTCATCTGCCAAAACTTGAAGAGCTGAAACAGAAAACAAAAACAACTCGCTCGAAACGTGCATCGGCTGCTACTAGTAAAAGTATACCAGGTTTGGATGTTGTTGGCTGTGGTTTTGATATATTCAAAATGGAAAGTAGAAACTGTTTGCTAGATCTAAGTGACCAAGAGAATACTAGCTTATGGTTAGATGTCTATAATCAGAAACAGAAATATATCGTTCCAAATGGCTTCTTTGTATCGACTAACAAGGAACTATTGACAACATTTTGCACTACATTCTATTCAAATTTATCACAATTTTTTCGAAACACCTACTATAGGAATGATGATGATTCAGATGGTTTTCTGGGATTTGGTGCATCACATAGCCATCAGGAATTGATAGAGAAATATCGTCAGATCTATCAATACAAATATCATTTCGCATTGTCACATCAGCAGGTGATTTGGTACACATTAGCGTTCAATAGTTTTCCACTACCAAAACTCAATGCAGCAACTCGTTTATCGCTTGATAAACTTCCAATAGTCTTCAATTTTTCATTTCTCGAAAGTTGGAAGAATTTCTTTAAAGCCTACGGCACGCATTACGTTGTTCGTTCTGATATGGGAGGCTTGATGTCGTTGGAAAATTATCACGAATCGTGTTTTATTGAGAAATACACTGAAACATGGTTCAGAACACAAATGTCACTTAGTTTTTGGTTTTTCTTTTCTTATAGTTCACAAACTGAAACATATAATTTGAAAGTTGACACGACTTTTAGAAACTACAGCGTATCCACTTTTAAACTTGTCGGTGGTGACACTGGTCTTATTGATAATTTTGACCAGCAGACATGGCTATTGACTGTGAAAGACCGACCGAACCCTGTAACATATCAGTTAGTGCCGATCTACGATTTACTCCCTGACGGTCCACAACGCACTGCACTTCGAAACGCCAGCCTTTATTTTCGTTCAGCTGCTGATAGGGAAGCCAATCTCTACATCCAGCGCTTACAGAATACGCCAATCAAACCATCATTACCACAATTGGATTGCTCACCAATGTCACAACGAAAAAAACGAAATATTGCCACCACAACAGAATCACTATTTGATTTAACAAAAGCCATGGAAGAACTGTGTCCAGTTGTTGGTTTCTACGGGAATTATTGTCTGGGTCGATCGAAAAATGTAACTGATCGACAGTTGTTATCAAAGGCTGCATCATCAATTTCTGATTTACCGCGCGGTGTTGGTATCGCGATTGATATTTCTACTGGAAAATTGTATCTACCAGCATTTGAAACATCAAAAACCAATAGCTCTATTTGGACAGATCCTATTTCCAGACAAAGTTTACGGGTACCACCTGAAATTCAACTGACAACTGCAAGTGAAATGAAAAATGATGAAGTTACTATTCGTATCTTCCGTACAGAAAATGAAATGACTGATGTATGGTTACGTAATGCTGAAGCTGGTTATTGGACAGGAGGCCAATTCGCCTATTCAAGAAATATTTCTGATTTATACAATGCATATTTTGCCGAAAATCAAGGAACAGCAGTCGCACAACAATTGCTCCCATTATATACATTAACAATGAAAAAAGGAATGATGAAGCTGAATCAGTATGCGCAAGCAGCTATCAATCACTTAACGCCAGCCTATAACGAAGACCTATATCGTCGTTTTATTGACGCATGGGGTACTCATATCACCATATCAACACAGCTAGGTTCATTGAAAGAATTGCAAATTATATTTCGAAATTGTATGATTGCTTCTGAAGCTGAATTATCGTATATGAATAGTAAACAGCAATCATTTCTTGAAGAAAATTTGAAAGAAGAACTCTTGAACGAGAAACCTTGTCTCGATTATTATTATTACAAAAGGCGTAAAGTTGTCGTCAATCGTCGTCTTGGCGGAAATTTAGCGCTAATAAATGACACAACTGAATGGAAAAAGTCTGTTATACTGGATCCAGCTTTATTATCTGTCATTCAATATACACCTTGGTACGAATTTGTGTCAAACTCACAAATTAAAGCAAATTTGAAATTGGCTATTCAACGGCGAATATCTGCTGCGAATGCAAAGAGCCAAGCACTGGCAATGCAAGTTCAGAATACTAGAGCACGCATGAATCTTACCACACAACTACTTATTTTAAAAAAAGAGTGGGAACCGAGTGCTACAGAGTTCATATTAAACGGAACTGAAATATGTCCAACAGGTTTAAGCAATGCAGTTTTAGCACAGAAATGTGGAGTTGGAACGATGATTAAAGCTTGTGCCAGAAACCCCACCGACGATGGCTATACTCTGACAAATCAGGTACCTGCTTGCTACGAACGAAATACAACAACTGGTGCATTTCGTTTAGCAGCACGTCGCCAGTATGCTGTGTCGACTAACAGAACACGAACAAAATATGAAAGTAAGCATTTTTGTAACTTTTTTCTCGGCTTATAACAAGTGTACCGTTAAAACACAATTGTGATGTTTCAGTTTTTCATAATCTCTAGAAGCATTGTAATTCAGCATGCATGTTTTTTATTCTTTAGACATAGATATCGCAGGTGAATGGAAACACAGTGGTTGTTCTTCAATTTATGCTGGTCAGTGTTATGATAGTTCAAACCCGTCGAACGTCAATGTGGTATTCATGTGTTCTGGTTGTGATGTTCAATTCAAAGAAAATGGATGGATATGTACATGTCCGATTTATCCATCTGACGAAGCTTGGGAACCCTACTGCTAAATTATTACACTTTTAAGACTAACCAACACTCAAGCATTTAATTATGAGTACGTGCATCTAATGCGAGCACAGTATATCAATCAGTTTGAAATATTGTGGAACTTAGATATATTTTTAAAGAAAACCATGGTTGTAAGTTTTAAGCCGAATGTTGGTATTCCTTTACCTCTCTATAAACAGTACATTGCAAATGAGACCAATGGTAGAACGTCAATCACTGCATTTTCATACCAACTAGCGATAATAGCCACCTTATTTCTTTCCTTAATTCGTTAGCAATGAAAAAAACGCTGAACGGCGTTAATAGCAAGGCTTAGACTATTCTATAACATTCTAGGAGATTGAATAAACTTCTTTTGAAAGTTCAATGACCATAGTACGTTTGTAAATGCTTCAAATAGCGCAATTTATAATATAAGCACAGAGAAAAAGATTGTACAATAGAGGATGTGAATTTCAGTGGGATGTGGGTTTCACTTCAAAACGCAGACACTCACACTGTAAAAAAGTAGGTGCTTTGCCGAACCTATGCCCAGAATAAGAACTATTTTGGTTCGGTACAAAATTACTGAGCCTTTTTTTGTTCGGTACGAAAATTACCGAGCTTTTTTAAGTTCGGCAATTCCGTACGGAACCGAAAAGGTTTTTATCTTGAACACAGGTTCGGTAAAATACCTATTTTTTTTACAGTGCACGTTCACACCCCAAACCCGCACCTACACCCACACCCACACTCACACCCACACCTCGCATCCCACATCTCGCACCCCACACCTACACCCACACCTCACACCCACACCCCACAACCACACCCCACACCCACACCCCACACCCACACCCACACTCATACCTCACGCCCTATGATGAGGTCTGTTTCAGACGTAATTCACATCTACAACAGGCTTTTTTGCGAGTCAAATCGATAGTTGGAGAAATAATGTTGAATTAAGCAAAATAATGTAAAAAGCAAAGAATAATAAAGTAAACAAAAAATAGTGCGCCAGTGTAAGGAAAGAATAAAATCTCTGTTCGAAGTCAACATTTAGGCAAACATAGACCGTTTCTCTGGTAGTCGATTATTATTTGACAAAAAAAGCAAGGTATGTTACACACATTTCATTTTACTTATTTTCTACCTGTCTAATAAAGCTAAAAAGCATTGCGTGAGTTCCATATTTAACTTCAAACGGGTATGCATTTACAAGTCGTTTTAGATTAGAGTATAGTCGTAGCTGTGGGTTACCCGAGCCTCTCACCACACCCTATCGACGTCCCATACACGTACCCATGCAGTCAAATCGACACCGAAAATCTACCTTACAAACTATAAGAAACGAATCTGCTGCTCATTGTTGTCATTAACTGAAATAATATTTGCTTTGAATGCATTTTGATCCTATATGCTAAGGCTTATAGCGAAGAGAGAAGCGGAAGCTAAAAAATCTGAGTGTAAAACTTAAATTCACTATTTCCTTCTGAAAAATATATGTTAGTTCTTGAAAAGTATACCTAGCTAATGTATATCTTAAAGAAAATGTTAAAGAAAATATACCGTTTAGAGATGCTCATGCTTTGCTTCGTAAATATCGAACCTTTAACAACGACATTATTATTATGCTTAATCCAGCACTCATGCATATCGCTCACGGCGATTTCCGATCAAGTTTTGATGTTCAGAGAAGCCATTTGGGACGCATCATGATCTCTAGTGGAATTTAGTCTTAGATATCGTGAATGAGACCATTCATGGTAAATAGAAACATGACATAGCAATGCTTTGTCAACGAACGGATCTCGGGTGAGCGGCAATAGAGAAAATAAGGAAAAACTGATCTATCAGTGACTGTTGCACAACATTTCAAAATTTATCGATTGCATTTGCTCGATAATAATCGAATCAAATCTAAAATATAGAATTAAATTGATTCTGACTTTCTTCGTCTTGTCTATTCAACAAAAAAGAATGTAAGGAAGTCTCGTTGAGGCTGTTCTTTCTTTGCAAACATTGAAACATAGACTAGCGCCCGTGAAATATAATATGAGGAAACCGATTCGAAGTGATTCTGAGGAAGTAGTCTCCAACTTCCCACTTCAATAAATACGCTCGTTTTTCTCGGTAGCTATTTTCTTTGAGAAGGCAAAGTAAACATGATCTGCCTTCTCTTAATTCTTTCACAAACAAAAATGTGTTTGTTTGCATGAAATGAGTCATCAATAGAGACCAAACATAAGCCAATAGATGCGCATTTTTTAGCTTCCTTTTTTTCGCGGAGAAGTCGCCTTGCTTGGAAATAGCGCACTTGGGCAGTCCATTTCACTTGCGAAAAAAACTTCCGTGAAGCAACTGAATAAAACCATTCTTTATTAGTCGTCACCATTTAGATTTTTGGAGGGTGCATGTTAGCGTAGGGTTTGGGTGTGAATGTGACTGTGATTTGTGATGTGTATGGGTCGGATGGGTGAGGGTGTGTGGATAGGGTGAGTGTTGGTATAAGTGTGGATATAGGGTATCGATCTGGGTCTGGGGTGTGGGTGTGAGGTGTGGATGTAGGATGCAAGTGTAGGGTGTGGGTGTGGGATGTAACTGTGTATCTGGACGTCGTTGAACTGAAGACTCACATCCACACCCTCACAGATCCATACCTAGACGCACATGCACATTCATATTCAGAGCTCGAAACAATACCGACATTCAAGTCCACACTCTCACTCACTACCTCAGAAATATTTCTTCAGGATTTCACCTGATTTTACGTAACTCTAATGACGTCTGATAAGATTTGATTAGAATCCAGTCAGAACGTATAGAATGAGATCAGTTCCGGCCGGGTTATCGAAAGTTCGCCAATAGGAATTTTGCAAACTAGACTTTCGCCATTGGCGAACGTCCACTGAACATTTGCCAATATACCCTCTGTACTTTCGCAAATTGGCGAATATCTAATGAACTTTCTCGGGTTTTAGTAGAAGGGTAGTATTGTTTAGACAAATTGATATCAACAATATTCTTAACTGTACGACTTGAGGTATATATTTATAATGCTAGGCATAGTTCTTGTACATCACTTACGATATGAATGTTCCACTATCATTAATGAAAATCTATTCGACTTTCGCCAATTCGTCCTCCTGAATATTCGCCAATTGGTGAAAGTTCAGCGGATTATCGTCAATATATTCCTTGGAAATTCGCCAATACACCTCTGTATTTTCGCCAATAATTGGTGAAAGTCTTATTAGCGAAGTTTCGGAATCCCATCCGACAGTTGCATTGATTTTCTTGACCTCGAGAACAAGTGAAGAATGATCTTTATTTTGACTAGTTTATTAATATTTCACTTGTGTCCTTCCTATGAATAGAAAAAGTTGAAGATTACAGAGTTTTTATAACATGAACTTTTGTTTTGAAGTAGAACACAAACAAATAAGCGTGACTCATTCACATCAACAGATAGAAACGCAATGCATGATTACTGTTTAAATGTAATTTTTTTCATGAAAATCTCTATATGCGTATTTATAAGAGCCGGTTAGTAAAAATGTTATCTGATCTGAAAAGAATGACAGTTTGGCTTTTTCTCTCTGTGTCATTGTTTCAGCTGATGGTGCCTGCTCTGCACAAACGTGTACTAGTGGACTGATATCAGGTTGTTCATCGAATTCGAACTGCGTATGTTTTCAACACGCAAATGGCAGTGGTATCTGTGCTTTTAGAGTTAGCAGTTCAACTGGGCTAAGCTTATGTAACTCTAACCAAACGTGCAACGCCAATAATGAAATGTGTTTTACCAATACATGCTATCTAAGTCAACAACCTGTCTGTTATGATATCGAATTTGCAAACATAACTGTCTGTCCACCACGTAAGTGCAACATTTTATGGACAGCAAATCACGAAAATAAAACCTTATCTGTTTATCTGTTTTAAGAATCAAGCACGACCACTATACCGACAACATCAACTAAAAAAAAAGGTACGAAAAATATGTGAATAACGTATTAACAGAAGTCCACTATACAGTAATTTGTTTAACTTTTTATTTGATGTGTGCATGCATTTTTCTGAACGTTAAAGTTCTACAAAAGTGAATGCTACATTAGTTGAATTCATTTTTTCATTTTGTGGAACTTTCATGCACTACGATTCACGTTGAAATTTTAATTTATTCTAAGACTGCAAGTGCTTCTACGATTTATCTATATATTTCTACGATTCACTTTAGCTACAATCTGCTTGAAAAAAAATTGTGTTTTGAACAATTTTTCAGTAGAAAGATTCAGAGATTTGCGGTTCTCAGTTTATTAAAGTAGACACTCTTTTACTATGAAGCTTTAATGAAAGAAAGTTTTTGATAGTGTCCTCTATGAAAAATCGAGTATAACAAAATCAGAAAATCTTTCAAAGAACACTCCCGAATAAACTTCAAATTCTTTTATCGGGTATTCTTTTCACCTAGACACCAGGCCAGATAATATATTTTACGCAGGTTTGTGTACTTGATTTAGGGTGGAGTGAGTGTGGATGTGGATTTGGATAAAGAGCAAATCCATACCAACTCATCCCATAAGGGATTCAGTGTAGGAAAAAGCAATAACTGTAGCAATAAGGGGTTAGATACAGTTATAAGTTGGTAAGGCTTTCTTTCAAAAACCGATCTCAGTCCAGGAACGTTCAAATGCCATGAAATTTTCAGGATATGTTGGGGTTGTAATGGAGAAGCTATGGTAAAATTTGCAGTTCGATATCATGACATCTGAGGAAAATTTCTTTGTTTAAAAGAACGTGACAAAATGCAAGGCATCAAAGAGCATTTTTTAAAACTCTTCCTTTTAATTAGAAAACGACATCCCAAGTTCAATATTCAAAATACTCTCAAAAAATGACGCTCTAATTAAATAGGTCTTTTTATATATGATAACAACAGTTTAATTTAGAAAAAAGGCTCTTTGGTGCCCTGCGTCTTCACATACTCTTTTCTACAAAAGAATATGAACGACAT